ATATGGGGGGCGAGGTGGGATGTGGGGTGGCTTTTTTTGGGGGGGGACACACGGGGTGATGAGGGTCAGACGGGGGGGGGTCTCACCTTGCGGGAGAAGTGGTCGAAGATGTTGCAGCCCTGGCTGTTGAGGATGGCGATGGCCTGGGCAAAGTGGTGCCGCTGCGGGGGGAAATGGGGACAACGGCCAACAGTGGGATGGGGATGTGGGGATGGGGACAGCCCCAAAAAGAGCCCTGCGCTGAGAGCCACCGCGGTGTCCCCAGAGTTGGGGGGGTGTGAGGAGGGCCTCACCTCCATCACGGAGCCCTCGGAGCTGTAGAGCGCGGCCAGGACGGATTTCTGTAAGGCAAAGTGTGGGGTCACCCCGAGCCTGAGCCTGAGCTCAACTCTAACCCCAGTGCAGGCCCTGCCCTGAGCCTAAGATCAACCCTGACCCTAATCCTAACCACGACCCCAACCACGACCCCAACCATGACCCTGATCCAAATCCTAACCAAGACCCCAACCATGACCCCAACCATGACCCCGACCCTAATCCTAACCATGACCTCAACCATGACCCCAACCCTAATCCTAACCATGACCTCAACCATGACCCCAACCCTAATCCTAACCAAGACCCCAACCATGACCCCAACCATGACCCTGACCCTAATCCTAACCAAGACCCCAACCATGACCCCGACCCTAATCCTAACCATGACCCCAGCCATGACCCTGACCCTAATCCTAACCATGACCCCAACCATGACCCTGATCCTAATCCTAACCATGACCCCAACCATGACCCTGACCCAAATCCTAACTAAGACCCCAACCATGACCCCAATCCAAATCCTAACCATGACCCCAACCATGACCCCAACCCTAACACTACTCTTGACCCTCACCCCAATCCTAACCCCACTGCTGACCTCAACCCTAAATTGTGACCCTAAACTTGATCCTAACCCTAATCCTGACCCTAACCCTAACCCTGGCCTTAAGCACAACCTTGACCCTAACCAAAATCCTGATCCTAACTCTGCTACTGACCCTAACCCTGACCCTAACCCTAATTTTGACCCCAACCCTAACGCTGACCTCAACCCTAACCCTGACTTTAAGCCTAACCCTGACTCTAAACCCGGCCCTAATCCCAGTCCTGACTGTGGCTGACCCTGACCCTGACCCTAGATCCCAAAATCAATGCTAACCCAACACCTGAAGCCAACCTTAACCCTAACTATGGTCCTAACCCCAACCCTGACCCCAAAATCAACCCTATCCCAATCCTGACTCTAACCTCAACCCTAAGCCTGTGACCCTAACTCCAAGCCTGACCCCAACCCTAACCCTGAGTGACCCTAATCCCAACCCTAACCCAAACTCTAAACATGATCCTAAACCCAGCCCTGACCACGACCCCAACTTTAAGCCTCACTGTGACCCTGATCCCAACCCTAAGCCTGTGACCCTAAAACTGTGACCCTAACCTCCACCCTGACCCCAAAACTCTAATTCTAACCTTAACCCTGTGACCCTATGACCCCAAACTCAACCCTAAGCCTAAATCCAACCTTAACCCTAACTGTGACCCCAACCCTGACCCCAAACCCAACTGTAAACCTAACCCCAACCCCGACCCCAATCCCGACCCCAATCCCCAAACCCCAACCTGACCCCAACCCTTCCCCATCGATGTCCCCACCCCCCATGGCCCCACAACCCCACAACCCCACTCCCCATCCCCTGGCACTCACCGAGGCCACCTGGAAGGAGTTGTTGGTGCCGCGGTGGTCGAGGTCATGGCACATGCATGAGATGAAGAGCGCGAAGATCTCAATGTCCCTGGGGGAGAGGGGGGGGGGGAAGAGAAGAAGGGGGGAAACTGAGGCACAGAGCACCTCGGGGAGGTCATAGGGTGGGTATGGGGTCAGGTATGGGGTCGGGTATGGGGTGGGGTATGGGGTCAGGCCATACTCCAGGTAGTTGGAGAGCTCCAGGTTCTTGTAGAGCAGGTAGCAGAAGTGGGAGACGGAGAA